ACCCTTTGTTATTGTTTTCTTAACAACGTGTGTAGGGGGAGTGTAAATCCACAGGTATCTGCKACTCAAATGGCTTAAATATTCTTTTCACGGGTTATGAACTTCACCGCAGAGACTTTCGCACGGGCAGGAGCCGCGGTCGCCTTTGTGCCCTCGCTGGAGGCTCTGCCGGGAGCAACAGGTGCAGGGGAAGGAGCCCGTTCTGTGCATCCATCCCTGCACTGCAGGGCACTGCACAACTGCTCTGAGATTCCCAGGACGTTTGGAAAGGACCTTAAAACCCATCCCATCCCATCCCTGTCCACTTCCCACTGTTCCAGGTTGCTCCAAGCCCTGTCCAACCTGGCCTTGGACACTTCCAGGGATGGAACAGCCATAGCAGCTCTGGGGACCCTGCGCCAGGACCTCCCCACCCTCAAAGGGAACAATTTCTTCCCAATATCCCACCYAATCCTGCCCTCTGTCARTGGGAAGCCATTCCCCCTTGTCCTGTCATTCCCAGCCCTCATCACYATGATTAGAATAACACATGGCTCTTACCCAAAAAGGATGGAGTTTGTCGCTTATTCAAAATCTCACTCTGTAGAGAAGAATGGGAACTTGGTTTCTCAATCCAGCATATTTTGGTTTGGATTCCTCTGGCAGCATCAGGCAAGCCCYAACTGAGAACATAACTTTGTTCTGCAAGATCGTGTAGCAACAACATAATTGTAAAATCTTGTGTAATGAATATTCTTCTTAATAATAAACCTGAAATTCTTAATTTTGCCAGTGTATTTCCCGTACATGCTTTCTGTGCTATAAATCCACCACATAGTAAAGTCACACAGAATAAAAAATAATTTTCATAGTAGCATGTTAGAGCAAAACACCTCTGAGGTGATGGAGCAATGCCTTCTGCACTGTTCCACACTGGCCACTCACTGAAGGCTCTGTCTCTGAAGTTAAAAAGTGTGCATCAAATCTGCTCWGCAGGCATTAGGAACGTACAGATTYTAGGGCRAGTGCCTACAACAACCYCGTATTTTAAAGCACTGTTGGCATCTGGAAACCTATTTATCACATATAAAAGTTTCACTTTTACTCCAGGTGTTAAACCCAAACAGACACCCTGCTTTACATAGCAGTGCTTATAAAAAGCATTTTAGGTAAATTATATCCCACTGGTTACAAAGGAATTATATGCAAAGAAAATCTTGTCTTAAAACCTCATTCTTGCTTCACCACCTTGGAAAAGCTGTTAATGGCTTCTCACAAACAATTWAAAAAAGGCCATTTCTTGGAAAGCAGTGAAATATGATTACAACAGCTTCTATTTTACACAGACCATGAGAAACTGTTTTATGCTTCAGCAGGAATCTACAGAAACTGCAGCAATACTCCTCGGGGGTAAAAAGGTGCTGTAATATAAAATGWGGAAACCCTGTTGGTTTGCCAGCTCAGGAATGTTACCTGCATGCAGCACGCTGCCCTGCTTAATAAAGAAATTTCTACAAGGGTCAGCAGAAAGCAGGCCCCAAGTCATCCCATTGTAATGGAAATAGGGAATAACTTCCGGAAAGCTTTGTAGATGTGGCGAGGATTATTGGAGTCATAAATAACAACAGCAAGTAATGCTGCGTGGTGATCCGTACCGGGTAATGAAAAGAGCCTCAAACAAAGCTTTGGAATTTTAATGTGACCAAAGTTCCATAGCTATCCAAACCCCGGGATGGTGCTGYGCTGTGTGCAGGGTGTTACCTGCTCTGCAATTCCTGCTGTGACTGCTGGGGCTACGAGGAATAAAACTGCTTTGGTATAAAACAGAAGAGAAAAATACTCCCTTGGGAAGACCACGACAAGAAACAACATTCTCACTCACATTATTGATGGTGTTGGGAGGCTCTCTGAAGGACTGAGGCAGGGAGGATGCAGCACCCTATAAGCACCTTGATGAGGCAGAGATAAAAATCTGCTTTCAGCTGAAGGAAGGCTTAGAGCTGGACGTGAAGTCAGAAGCAGCTGGTGAGCAGAGGCTTTGTTTGTGTGGCTCTCCCTTTGAAGGCAGCGCCATCCTGTACCTGAGGTTTGTGAAAGGTGCCTGAGAGCAGGGATAACCCAGTGCCCTCATTTGTTCCTGTCGAGCCCTGGGCTGCCTGGGGCTGTGCTCACAGGGGAACAGCAATCACAGCAAATGTCCCTCTCCTCCTCCCAAAGGCTGGCACAGGGCTCTGCTCTTCACCAGCTAAAGCTGAGCACCAGGAATTGCCATAAAGATGATGCGAGGYGCTTTCAGAGGAGAGAGCAGATGTCTCGAACTTGCTGTTCAAATCACAAGTACATCCCTGGCTTTTGAAAACTGAGCTCTGTTCAGAAGTGTGAAAAATTATTCAGGATGGTCACAGCYTGCTTTATGCAGGTCAGGCTTTGTGGCTTTGCTTTGCACCAGCAGATTCTGCTCTCTGGAATCCACACTGGGGCAGAGGGGATTTAGAGGAGCAACAGGAGGTGAGTGGGGAGGAAAAAACAACAGATGAGCCCTGAGCAAAGGTCTGGCCWGGGAAAACCTATGAAGTGTTGGAGCGTTGGCTCTGCAGCACCTGGAGCCCCATCTGCCACCYCTCCACGGCAGCTCTGGGCTGCAGAAAACTGAGTTTGGAAAGGATGAAAGGTTGGGTTTGGTACTGCTGCTCCTCTGCCCTTGTGGCTCGTGGCTCTGCAATGACAGCACGCTCTGCTTCCCACAAGAGAGGAATGAAAAGCAGAGGTGAAATAGCTTGAATTGTTTCAGGACAGCACTCCCTGACTGGACAGTCCTGCACTGGGGCTGCTCAGAGCCCATTATTCTCCATACAAGCATTCCTGAGTGCTCACCCACAAAGAGCTTTTTATCTGCTGTATCATTTTTTTTTTTTTTTAACAAAGTGCCTCGCAATGTATAAGCAGCAGGATTTGATCTGAAATGCTTCTTWTGTGATTTCAGAATTATAATCCTCTTTACACATTCTATGGTAAGAAAATTCAGTGAGCAGAAAGCGCTGAACAGAAAAGTATAGTTTAAATTCTGGCATTGACCTGGCTGGCATTGGCTCATGATCAGACCATAAAGAGTCAAGGAAAACTTTCTTATCCCATTAGTGTGTTCCTTATAATAAATTGTGATATCAGTTATATTTATACACTTCAAAAAGAAATGGAAATCCTTGGAAGATATTTTAAAAAATCTCGGTTTTAAAATTGCACTTATTGATTAATAGCTTGGATGATTTATAATCTAAAATTGTCAAGGAACATGCAAATACACTTCTACTTTCACTGTGCCACCAGAGAGGAAAAAGAATCTTTGTATTATGGTATAACAGCAATACATGGAGTGCCAAAACRGGATAAAATGACTGTTTTATAAGAACACTGGGTTTGTGATAGTTCTCAGTATTTTCAGCTACTCAAGAGAATGTATTTCATGGTACAGAATGAAATATTACAGTGCTGCACTTACCCTRAAGCAGCAGTCACTCCTTTGTTCTGACCATTTTCCTGTTTGAAATATTCAGGTTATTTAACAGTCAATTTACTTGGTTTCAGATAATTAATACTATGCAGGATCAATCAGAAAAACCACAAAACCCCTCACTGAACAACTTTTCTCCTGCCCATTATTCAGCATGCTAAGGAGTGAATGCCTCAGCTGAATGAAAGACTGCCAGTTATCATTCACTAAATACCGACTGCAAAAAAACCCCAAAAGCTTAAAAACATAAAATTTCATGATAAATAGAACATTTTACCCAGAAAAAAATGCAAAAAAAAAAGCCCCAAAAGCTTAAAAACATAACATTGCATGATAAATGGAACATTTTACCCAGTGGTGAGGCTTAGYACAAAATAAAAAGATGATGCCAAASTTTCTTCATGACGCTGCAAAAGCCCTGAGAGCCCCAGCAGTGATGTCTGTGTTATGCTGCCAGGTCTAATTCATAATTCAGGGATGCTGGAAGGGAAGTGATGAAGGAGAGGGCCTGCAGACATGTGGAGCAGCTGATCTGGGAGTTAAACACCTTGGAAASATCTTCCCTTCATTATGACCAAAGAGCAGGAAACCAGTCTGATTCCAAAGCAAGAATTTGCATTTCCCTCTCCTGGACAGACTGCCCGAGGAAMAATCCTCATTAAAGGAGATAAAGGAGCTGTGCTTGTGACACACAAAAATAAGGGTTGGCACCTGGGAGTTTTTGGGGAGAACAACACAGAGGTTTGGAGTTTATCTTTGCTGCTACACTATAAATGTGTTACAGAAGCAGCTGGTTTTAAAGAAAATCTGAAATCATTAAGCAAATAAAGCAGAAAAGTGTTTAGAATATAAAACTGTTAAAAGTGAAGGAGTAAGTTCTTGGCATCTGTAAATAAAATCTGCTGTAGATTTTGGAGACTGTTTTTCTACCCCAAAATTTATCAAGATGAAAGGATGCCTTAAGATATACTTAATTTCTGATGCATCATCATTTCCATTATTCAACTGCTATGAAATTTCTGTGGCTGGGGATGAAGGATGATTGGAATTTAAAATAACAAGTGCAGTCAACAGTTCTWTGGTCAAAGTGTATCACAGGCATACACAAACTAGAACAAAATATCTGAATATCTGAGGAACCTGGGCACAGAAACTGGAACAGGGATATTTAAACCTGCTTCATACTAGTAGATCACTAGTAATTACTAGGTTTTTAATCACTTTTTACTTTTTTTTTATTCACTACTACTACTGCTGTAGGAGCTGCAAGGCCTGACTGAAATACCTCGTCCCATGTTTGGGCCTGTTGAGATTCTCTTCTCCACTGCATTATTTGGCTAAATATATAACATATTATAAGATAAACCTTTCTGTCATTAAATTTGGGTTGGTCTTTTTTCCATAGTTCCTCTCTGTTGGAGTGGTCTAAGTTTTGAYATATCACTCCAATTTACACCTGAAATTTCAATTTGCTGAATGCAGAGTTTATGCTGCTTTGATGCAACATGGTAAAGTTCCCAGGTTGTRGATGCATTTAGCAGGATTTTGGTTTTGCTGAAGTAAAACACTGTGCAGAGTTTAATTCTGGAAAAAAAATATTCCTTTTGAGCCCTTACCATTTTTGAGAAAGCTTACATTTCTGACTTGCCTCGYACTGAGCAGGTGGAAATCAAGAAACCAACTCRATAATTCTTTTTTTCCTACTAAAA